TTTTTTTTTTTTTTTTTTTATATTAATAGAATATCGCGCTAACTTCACAGATCCATAAAGAAGTTAATAGAGCTAATCTCATTCTTGAGTATTTTAATAACGCGCTGCTATTCGGCTTATAAAAACTATTAAAATAAACTGCGACTATATTTTTTATTCAAGCAAATTACAATAATTGAAGGGATGTTATATCCAACTATTTATATAATTATTCTCTTATCACTTAAAATAATAATGTCACACGTTGCCAAGCTCGTTTTCCAGCTTTTCACTTTGACCACTTTTTGCGCGGCATAATTATCGTTTCTTTGTAAACGGCTGTTCATTATAAATTGTACTGTCTGCCGTGGGATAGTAAATAACATCGTTGCGCGGTTTAACCGCCCTTAATAACGCCATAGAAGTGACTGAAAGAATTAATCTAAAACGTTTATGCCTCTGATAACAGGCGAAACGCCGGACGCGGACAACACATACGTTTTATTAGCTACTCTCTTCGCTGAATAAACGTAATTAAAGCGAGGATCCCATAATTACTCTTGCAGCTGCAACATCGTCTGTACGTAACGTTAACATCTTCGCAACTATTGACGTGCTAATGTATCGTACAATATATTATCTATTTCTATAGACGTCTGGATCCACAAAGCTCGGATGCATGATACTTAACATACTTTATACCTTTCATGCATTAAGGAGTGCACTATGAATTATTATGGTAGTCTTTTTATTCGATAAATTCGATAAAAGAAGCAAGATTCTTTAAGACCGACGCAATTCCGATAATTAGAATTGGCATTTTTAATTCGTCGGCATATAATCTCATTCGTGGTGTGATTCAGCACAAATCGCGGATCATTGGTCCGTAAAATTTTAAAAAGCTAATCACTGCTTTCGCACGCTAGCCTAACATACATCGATTTACTTTGTCATACTTGTCGCACTGTAATTTGCAAACTTACGCCTGTCTGAAATCGCGCTAGACGAGGGAAGGTTAAAGAGACGAAGGCTCGACCTAGTTCGACATGTGTCGTTCCGCCCGGTTGGCACTACAAGAGTCAAGCGGCGCGCAACCACGGCGATTAGTTGCCGGGAAACCGTAGAGCGGAAATTGAATGATATACGCGCGATTTCCTCTTATTTCCCGCGACGGGACGGAGCGTGGTGTCTGCAGAAGGTCGGAGCGCCCATCTCGCCTTCGCGTACGCAAAGAGAGAGATCCGCCGGCTACGCGAATAGAGCCAAGTCTCGGCGATGTAGGTGGTTACGCAACGGCCGCCGCCGACTTGCGATTTCCATCACGGACGTTCCAGCCTTTGATTTCTGACCCAGCTCAAGGGAGACGGTCGGCATGGGCGCCGCCAAGCATTCTCTTCTTGGCGTCCCACTGACACTTCATCTTTGAAATGTCAAGCTTTTTTACCGCATGAAGGCCACTCCGAGTCCGTTTTAATGCGAAAAAAAAAAATTGTGTGAAATATAATTCATCTGCAACAAGTCTTATGATCTGCAGCTTGAACGATTCTCCGTGCATATCGTTTGCAATTCTTTTCCAAAAGAATCGATAGCTCTTGTATTGCCGTATAACGCAAAATTATTATAAAGTCTAACGTAAAATGAGAGATCTAATTTTATAAAGATTGATTTGCTTTAACGCTATAATTTAATAATCATGATTGGATCCGATTCAAGAATTAATGGAATTTCCGCGAATTTCCTGATTCCGCGACTCCTTTACGTAATTTCCCGAAGGAACGGCTTCTTTTCCGCCGCTAAAGATCAAGCAGGTGCCACAGAGCTACATGAAAATCGAACTAGACGAGTGGTATTCCTCGGCGTGAAATTTCTCCGCGGTCGATGGCTATTGTTACATCATCCGCATCCTTTCACAACGTCACCTATTATCAATAACAATGGTAGTGTGGTATGGAGGCTCTAATAGATTTCTTTATTACGTTGACTGCACAGAGCGGAAGGTAATGCAAATGTAAATTATCTTCACGCATTTGATGAAATTATTGTTCTGTCTATTGTTATTTGTACATATTTTTTTTGTGAATCAATTCATAAAAGTTTTATTATATGCGCCTTATTTCACGAATAACTTTAGAAAGTTTATAAAATATTTGGTTATTGAGAAGCAATATACATTCGATAGTCTCTTTTAATATATATATAACATCCGTGAGATAATATTGAAGTTCGAATAACAGGTATGTTAAAATTACACGTGATTATCACATATTTTCCACACAATTCGATGATAATGCAGACGGTGTTTACCGTTTCTTGAGCGCGGTTCAAAGGCCTCATTTGCGACACTCATACGTTTACCCGCGTCTCAGCATAAGAAATGTGCATAATGTTTTGTACTGATGAATCTGATGAGCACATGGAAATAATCTTCATCAAAGACCATAATGATTTTTGTTTATTAAAAATATTGAGATCGATTGAGGAGATAAAGAATATTCTTAAATTAATTTCAAACATTTTAATACAAAATGTTATCAAATTTTTCATACTAAATTTTAATCTTGACTGCTCAATTTTATTGAGACATTTAATATATTGAAGTTTCTGAAATCACGAACATTTGAAAATACTGCTCTGTTAAAAAGTTCGGCTCTTCGAAAGTCGAACTTTCAATCGGACTGGAAAGTCTGAAGAAGGAAAGTTGAATATCTTATATGGAGATACTTTACGCCCACGCAGAGCGTAGCGTTCGTGAGAACGGGACCCACGCAAAAATTTGCAAACACACTCAAAGGCACGTTCAACTTCGTTGAAAAGCTTTTTGATCAAATCAATTCGCGGTGATTCAGTGAATCACGATTGTACTTTATTGACTTTACGCCGTTATCTATTCATAAGGATGTTACCTGAAGAGAGGCTTTATATGTTCCACAAAATAAATTTCATATACACGCGTATATAAATTATACATTTATCAGAACTACAATAATTAATTATTAATATGTTTGCGCTGTGCATTATACATTTTATATTTACTCTGTTTTTCAAAAATTTATTATTAATTTGCATAAATTGTTATTTGAGCATTTAAATCGATAATTAATATTCAAATGCAAATAACCAAGTGCTAAAATTAACGACGTATTTTTCTTCTCGTTGCAGTTCCTTCAGAATCTAGGCAAGGTCGACCGAACCGCGGACGATATATTCGACGAGCACCTGCAGAACTTCACGAGGCAGCAGAACTCCGCCACCAGACTGCAAAAGGAGTTCAACAATTACATCAGGTGTGTTCGAGGTAAGTCGTCTCGCGGGGCAAAAGTAGCTCGTGCACGCTGTTGTCTTTTCTTTAAATGGCAATCGCTATTTATTAGGCGCGCTAATATTACCTGTGTTTTACACACGTAGTAAAAAAAAAAAAAACACGACATCATCGATAAATGAATTGGATGTCTTTCGTAAATGTTTCAATAGTTTATGGGAGATTTTTCTATCGTATTATAAATATTAGCAATATTACGGTGGCATTTTCGTCGATAGAATTAAGCACATCTTAACCTTTGGATCAGTTTAATTATCTCTTCAACTTATAGAACATGTGGAATATTGACTTCAGAGTTTTACATAAGCGGTGATTTAGCAACATAGTTGTGAAGGATATTATAAAGAATGGAAATTATGTAGCTAGCAAATTACGCAGCAGAAACGACGAAGCAGCAGAAGCCTCTGCCAATGTTTTAAACTTAATTTTTATAATTTTATACGCGAAGTGTTCGGAAATTATCAGAAGAAATATTTTCTCCAGCAATTATAAATTCCTCGATTGTTTATATTTATTTTTTTGGCGCAAGTAATTTTTTAATATATTGATTTTTCTCCAACAACTGAATTTTATATAATAATTTATTGCATATTCCATGAATTTCCGAAAAGTGCAATTATCTTTTTGTCAAACACATTTGATGTAAAGTTCTTTGCGTCTACGATGATTTATATAATTCACGTGTGCGAATTAACAACCTCGTGTGAAACGCGACACGCTTTAAAAAAATGTTCGCGCAACCTTGCATTGCCGTGACCCGATTACTAAGCTCGCGTGGAAGCTGAATTACTTTGTAACTCCATACTTTGTCCTCTGCTTTATTGCGAGTCGCAGAAGTAATTGCAGGGTAAATCGAGCAAATAATCGATGTCGATACGTACTTGGCTCGAAATTGATATCTCAATTTAACCTCGCATTTATTTTTTTTCCTTTCCTTTATATGTTTCAATACAAAGATGGATTTGTATGATACAGAAGATAAAAACATAAATTACACAAATAATGACAAAATGGAGTTACATAATTCTATTACATGGTTAAACGACTTCTTTGCTCGCCGAAGGACTTTCGTTGCAGTAATCTTTTCCTTTTCTCTGCACGAAGTTAATTTCTGTTAACTTAATGAGATCTGTCATCGTCAATCGGGAAAATTATTTTCATCGTCCGTCAGCCGACGCTCCCGAGGCGTATCGCCTCGCGAATGAATGACGGACAGATGAATAACTCGCAGACATTGAATAACGACCGGCGATTCCGCGCAGGCTCACGGGCATCAATTACCGAGAGGAACCGGCGTAATATTTTAATCGCGCGTATGTATTCGGTAATGTAACGTGGGTACAGCGAAACGACCTTTGAGAACCGGCAGGAAGAAATTACTTCCCGCATAATTCGCCCGCAATCTTCCGCGCCAGCAACGGCGTGTCCGAAATATTAAACAACACGACCTTGGCGCGATTGTTAATATTTTAGATAAGATAGCGGCGAGAATACACGCCAGCTGTACAATCGATACGGTTCACTTGCGAAAATTGATAGAACCGGTTCCTCGATTTTGTCAGCAGCACGGATGATGACAACATAATTATTCATCCTATTGATAATAGACATATCAATAGAGATATCAGTCTAATTAAGATCAAACTTACTAATTTTTTTTCTCATACTTAGTTTCATAATATTGTAGCGGTGGTTTATTGCGAATAACTATGAAATGTTTAACAATTACGTCACAATTTTCTGTCATAATAAAAATGTATTAGGTGTTAATTCATACAAAAGTTAATACGCAATTGTCGCTCGTTATAACAATTTTTTGTGAAGTTTTCGCGTCTCTATGAGGTTTCTAACTGTTTTTCAGCGAGTGCGGTGGGATTTGTGCACTTCAAAGCCGGAGATCTGACGGTGTATACACTGTCTTTCTCATTTTAATGGCGAGTCTGAACCGGCGAACAGCGCGAAATCAATAGCAAAACGTCATGCGACGATCTTTAATCCTTCCCACTCAAATTGTGTTAGTCGTAAACAACGTATCCACGCTTGACTGAACGCAGTGACATATCGTTATTTGCATATTTCTTGTAGCTTCTGCTGCTCAGATATAAAAATATCTCAATGTGCTTCGATATGACTAACTACTGTAAACTTTATTCATTTTCTTTAAACACACATCTTTGGGCATTTTAATACATTTCTCGATCTAAAATTCGTTAAATTCTCTTAACATGACATATATAGATTAATTTGGTGAAACACAAATAATGTTTTTGTGTATTTATTTTTGCAATAAAATTTACAAATACATAAAATAGTATTTCCAAAGTAGCATAATTTCAGGGACCGACAGTAAAATTTGTAATTTAAAATTAAAAAATATGCAAAAACGGAATTTGAAAACATTGTCACATGTCCCGTTAAGCAAATTTCGCGATAGGCTCGTAAGCAGTATCCTTGGAGGAAGTGTTAATTTCGGAGCGCGCAGGACCCGCGTCAATCGCTCTTAGCTTTTCTTTTATCACTCGACAGACCGGACAGCGTTGTTCGCATACCCGCATGCGGAAACCGAACGTAAAACCTGTTGATAGATAGCACCGGCGAGTTTCGTCGGCGACGAGGTTTCTCTACCGTAAACGCGATAATGTTAGCGGAAAAATACGACGAAAGTATAATCATCGCGTTATATGTTCAGATCGTCGGCGTTTTATCGTCGCTAGTTCCATCATCACGCACATTACATCCAAGTCCAAGTTCCAAAGCGGATGAAAAAAAACTGACAAGAACAGTGGCGCGTAGCTCGTTGAACTAACTAAAAAGCAATGATACTGAAAATTGCGGCGGCCGATTACAGTAATTTAGCGTTAACGACGACGCTGTTAAAGCGAATCATCCGCAGTAGATTCGCGAACGATGCTGCCTTTTAATTTCGCTCGGTGTAATGTTAATTAAAATCAATGCATGATATAATGATACGGACATTAAATTGAAGTATTGTGATTTTTGTTGATAAACGTGATTATTTTATACCGTAAATCTCAAAAGCGCCTACATAATAATTTATTGGTATATAAATTGTTTGCATTATAGAAAGGCTAGAAATAATATATATTTTTTTCTGTTTACAATATTCTGATTTATTTTATTAGTAAAATTAAGGACGAAATAAACAGCATATTTTGCAACACAAATACAAATTAAATATGTATAATAATAAAATTTATTTTTCAGTATATAAATTTCATAATCCGATTTAAATACTATATTGTTGATGCAACGCCGTAATATTTAAATTCATGTCATATTAATTTGCATAGAAGACTCGTCAGCAATTTCGAAATTCAACGCAAAAGATCACTCTGCAATTTTTACGCAGCGTGACCCGAAGCGAGGAATTTGTAAGCAACCGCCTTATCGGGGCAGGTGAATGTACGAGTACTAGGAGAGGTTTAGATGTAGGTCAGGAAAGTAGTCACCCGCGTCGCGCGCGTATTCCTGAAATAAAAAAAGCACGTGTCGCTCGATGGAAAATCAGCGTGAAAAAGTTTCTCCACGGTTTGCGAAACAAGTCTCGTCAGACGACCGCGTCCGGGATGTCTTTTAGTTGGGAAAAATTTTCCACCCATTAGTTTCGCCACCGTAAATCTTCCGCACTTAATACCAAAAATATTTTCTGACGAAAGCGAATCGATCTAACGAGCAAAAAAAATAAGGATATTGAAAAGAAAAATATTTTTCATATTTTTGATACACTTCGGAAAAGTTTATCTCAAAAGAAAAGAAAAGTAATTTAGATTACTATTATCAATTAGAGAACACACATGGAAGATGGTGTGTCGATCTTATTATATAATAATATATAAATCATATATCTACTTATCGTTAGTACAAAAATAAATGTGAGTCCCGTACTCATTCTTTACGAATCTTGCAAAATTCTTCAAGAAATAAATAAATAAAATAATAGCAAACCAATATATATGATTCGCTTTATAGCGGTACAAGCTGCCTCGAAGACGCTTATGGACTCGTTGAACGAAATCTACGAGAGCCAGTGGACTGGACACGATCTGTTGTACGTGCAGGCACAAAATCTTGACATGCTATGGCAAGATTTCACTCACAAGCTCGCGGACCAAGTTCTTGTACCACTCAACACATATCAAAGCCAATTCCCGGAGATGAGGGTACGTTCCAATGCAGATTGCTAGTTGCATCAAATAATTTTCTTTATCCGCGTCAATTGTCTTCGTGAAAATTAGACTGCTTTATAAATTAATAAGTTTTTATTCTTCTTCACAAATCGTAAAATCCCTGTCGTCATTCTTTATCAACAGGCAGCGTTTTATTATTTGCTTTTAATGGAAAATAATTTTTTGCACAAAGTTATGTGAAAATATAATAAAGTTAAAAATTAAATTTTGTATATATTTTTCTAACTTTGTACAACATCCATGCGGGATGAGAATTGTGTCTATTTATAGCGGTACTTAAATTGATTGATACAATGAATTACAAACTGCCACGTTTCATCGAGGATGTCGTCGGTTTGCAGAAAAAGGTCGACAAGCGCGGTCGTAAGCTGGTGGATTATGATAGTCAGAGACATAACTTCCAATCGCTGCAGTGTAATCCAAAGAAGAGGGACGAGCTCAAAGTGTCCCGAGGGAAGGAGCTGCTGGAGGAGGCAAAACGTACATACGAACAACTAAATTCCGAGCTGCACGATGAACTGCCGGCGTTATACGACTCGCGCGTTCTTTTCCTCGTCACCAATCTGCAGACGCTCTTCGCTGCGGAGCAAGTGTTTCACACTGAAAGTGCCAAGGTACCTTATCTTGCGAGTTTGAGTCTGAGAAAGAAACTGATTAGAGAAATTTGAAACAAAAATGTCAGAGAGATTTTTATAGAAAAATAATGCCAATAACGATACTTTATATCGCAGCCAATTTCAAGGCTTTATTCTTACGGAAAACGAACGCAGTCTCGTCACGCTTGAATCATCATTCATAATGTTCTTAGGTATATTCCGAATTAGAAGCGATCGTCGATAAATTGGCCAACGAAAGTCAGCGAGGATCTTACACGCTGAAGAAGAACACGGAACCGCAGTCGCCGAAGTCGCCTAACGCAAACTCGTCGTAAGTAAACCGATCCTGCGGGATAAAAATTAAATCGTGCGGATGGAAATTATACAATTGCGAGAGAATGGCAGTAATATATTTAAATATGTCCTATATAGAACATAATGCGAATATCGCGGAAAATGTAATATCGGTAGCTAGTAATTATGCAAAATGTGATGCTGCAGAATTGCAGAAATGTAATATTAAATAGCGGTTGTTACGCGAAATACGATATAAAGCGGTAATTATACAAAATGTAACACTGACGCGTAGTGGTTGCGTAATACTAACAGTTCTGATTTGTTTCAGTCTAATAATCAACACGCAACCGGCGCAGAATAATATCACAGGAGGTAATCATACTCTCATATCTTTTTCCTCAAGCTTTTGATTTGTACATGTGTATACTAATTCTCGCATGTCTTCTGCAATGTTTTCGTTGAATATGGAACGGAAACTTAGAACTTCGAACGTTCCCGATGGCTTTAACAAGGCCGTGTCGACTCGGCATTTAGTTTTGAGTGCGCTTTCTTTCGCGTGTTTCAGCTTTGGAGGATAATACCACGCCGAGAGACACGTCGCCGACCACCCAGATAAACGGCAACGCTAACAGCAACGCTAACAGCAATGCTAACAGCAATGCTAACAGCAACGCTAATAGCAATGATAATTCTCTCAATAATCAAGATGCGTCGCCGCAGAACGCAGTCGCGCCTTCTAAACGGGTCGAGGAGCTGTACGATATTCCAGTTGGTAAGTCGCTCGCAAACGTTGTAGTGTTTTTTCTCAATGCGTCTCTTTTTAACAAGTCTAGCTAGATTTCAATCGCATATGCGAAATGAGTGATCAATTTTATGACAAATTGTGCAAATTTTCTTGATAACTTCAAATCAATTCTTTTTACGGTTTGCTTAATTTTTAGAATTGAACGACCGATAAGAATCTTGTTAAAATGGAATAAGTGAATTACGTTTTACGATAATGTTTTATTTGAATGTCTTGTTTATCGATCGATTTCTCTTTGTAAAATTAATTCCGCAGATTATTTGCGGATTTCCGAGCAAATATGTGCGCGCACACGTGGCGATTAATCGAATGTTATCACATTTGCAGCATCCGATAATTGTTTAATATAATAGTAGTAAGCTGCCTGCCCTTTTGTGCATGGTCTTGCCGAAACGAGATCATAGTGAATTTGACCTAGTTGTGGAATTATATATGTTAATTATTATGCAGTTGTAAGAATTAAACGAAATATCTGAACGTATAATTGGTAAATATATCAAAGTTTCCGTATGTGCGGACAAAATCACAGGCAGATCCATGACTAACGGGGCGGACTCGGTCGTTCTAGAGGCGGAATATGAAAATGCTACCAATTTCTCTGTAGGGGCGACGACCGACAATCTGCCGCCGGGGGTTTTGTACAGGGTTAAGGCGACTTACAAGTACAGCCGCGAGGACGTGGACGAGCTGTCGTTCGACGTCGGCGAGATCATTCGCGTTGTCGAGTACGACGATCCCGAGGAGCAGGTTCGTGATTCTTAAATCACCCAAAAATTCATATTCGCGCCATCTGCTCCGCGCCATCTCTCTCTCTCTCTCACGTTATTCGCACTTATTCGCTTGCTTGCAGGAGGAGGGCTGGTTGATGGGTATGAAGGAGGGCACCAACGAGAAGGGCATGTTCCCGGCGAATTTCACGAAACCGCTGTGAGAGCTGTGCTCGGTTCGCCATTTACACTCCAATGCTCACCAGAGACAGCGTATTTTACTTTAAGGTAGTTCAAGAGTCGCGTGATTGAACAGGAGATAAGAGCCCACGCGGTCATCTGAGAGTTTTCGACGACGTATATGAGATAAAGGTAAATTCAAATAGCCAGACGCCAGGCTGCAGGAGGGGTGTGGGAAGAAGGGGGGAGGGGGAGGGCGGAGGGGAGGGGGGGAAGACGGGATTCGATAAGATAGTTATGCTGGAGGGTACTGCGGAGAGAATCAATCACCCCAAAGTGCCTTAACCCAGCCACTGTCTGTGCCAACGTTCACTCTTGTTCGTCAAAAATATGGGATTAACTCTCTCATATCAAACGTACGAATACACATCATGAATAATAATCAAATGAGATATTTAAGCGATTAAAGAGTATATTGTAACACAAACCTACACAGACACGCGCCACACGTGCACATATATATACACAACGATACGCAATATTATAATATAAAAACAAAAAACGAAAACTATATATTAAATTAATATTATTTTACGAAATTGTACATAGATCTATATACGATTTAAGAGTATTTTACGAGGTAACTTTGTGGCCACTGAAAATTATCGCTAAGAAATATATATATATCCTAAGGATACGCGCGTCGTGCGAGAAACCCTTCCGTTCAACGGTAGGAGAGGTCGTAAAATCTTCAAAAGGTCCAACTACCTGTCTGCATTCGTAAAGTAAGGTTCTATTTACTCGAGTATATTGTTCGAGAGCGTAGCAATAGCTCCCATCAAATGTCGCCACAATCTGCATGCCAAATTTTTCAACGACGTAATAATAGATATTCAAAACGGTGATACATATATATACAAGATGAATATTGCGATGTATAAATGAGATGAGTATAATTTCTGCATATTTATGAGTCTCTTTTTCTTCCTCTTGGAGCACCATGAATTTCATCAATGGGATCTATTTGTGAATTATTTTTGCAGATTTTATTCACCTGTGTCCGCAAATCTCTTTATGTACATGTTTGTAGAAATTCGGATAAGCGACGAGAAAGCGTTTTATTATATTATTATTATTATTATTATTATTATTATTATTGTTATATATATATATATTATTATTATTATTATTGCTATAATTATTATCGCTCCCGTACCTATTCATGTGTCAAAGTGAAAAAAACGAATACGTAAACGAACCAATCCCGAAATTTTTGTAGACTCGATCAATACTCGTTAGATCTGCCGAAACAAACAATCTTGTATTCACATCTTGTGTAATAAATAGTGTTGTAATAATATATACATATATACTTACAGAGTAGCGCTAAGAGAGGATATCAGTTTCAGCTTCTACTTGAACGTGTGTCTTTTTATTTTATTATAGAAAGGAAAGTTGGATTGTTCCTTTTGTAAAAGAAATTATTTATCTCGAGGATTGATCCATTGTCACACTAAAATGATTAGCTTAAGTAGAAATAGAGTAATAATAATTTCTTTTAGTTTTTCTCCCGGTTTGGTGATAAGTGAAGCTGAAAAATTGTCTCAATACTCAAAATAAAAAAGAAAAAAGGAAGCACCGATATGAATGGAATATGTACTCGAAGAAAATATTTCGAATCATTAATTTTAGGCCTGCAGTTTTAATGATATGTGCAATATTGTGTGATTGCATCATCGAAGTATTTACAAAGTGGAAGATAATGCATTTAAGTATTAAGAATGGATGTAACTTAAAGTAATCCTCTCGCTAATTGTGCACAGGATATTTTTTGATAACGTATACAAATATCCGATGAATTGAACGTATTATTTAATCTGGAGGTAAAGTATACGAAAGATGAATCGATACATATCTTCATTTTCTGCCGTCATGTATTAATATAACATATAATATTTTAAAATACGATATATATATTGTGTTAATGTATAGATGGTAAAAGAATTTTTACACTCGCAACATAATTTACATCGAAAATTTTGCTGACAGAATCCCGGATAAAGATCGCAGATTTAGTGTAGCAGTGGAGCAATCGATTGTTATGTCACTTGTCATTTTTATGTCTTGTTTTATTTTATCGAAGCAATCAGTCGTATCTTTATAACCTTAATACAAAGTGTATCGAATATCTACCGCTTAATTGTCTTTTTTTTCTCAGTTAAAGATGATTATACAATAAATAACTGGTTTGTAATACAGCGCGTCGGCGCTCACGGCGTGATTCCTTGCCCCGTGAGAAATACATTGTCCCTAAGTATCCATCCATCATCATCCTGACAGGTATTGAGTTGAAAAAGATACGATTAACAAGCGCCTACGATATATATCACACATGCGATGCCATATCAGTTTTCACAGAATAATATTTTCCTATTCTTTTGCAAAATAGTGTTACCGATAATTTTACTTGCAGAGATATGGCTGGTGAACCGATCAGTAAGTGATTCTCACAACCGAATAGCAAACTCTTGCGATTCACTAATTTGAGAAAAATCAAACATTTTTATTTCATTACGCCTCAACGTCACAAGAGGGAGAAGTTTCGCAGGCATTTCTAACTGCGACACATTCGCATCTGGATAAAGAAAAACTTCCATCTGCCTGCTGCTTGTATTGCGAACAGTGCAACGGATTAAAATCGAAGCATTCATCGACTGCTAATTACAAGGCATTTAATTTACACGAACACATCATATTTAATGTTTGACAAACAATCTTTGCAAAAATATATTTTTCAAGCAGAAATTAGGTAGTCAGGCGCAACAACTGCGGGAAAATCTACAAATTTGTTTAATAAAAACCCAAGTAGAGGAGACCATGATGGATGATAAGCAGACGAGTCAGCTGCAGCATCTGAGCTTAATCAGCGATGTATGCGAAGCTGTTATACAACATATGCAATCTTTACAAGTATCGTATCTCGTTGTGAAAAGAATATTCGATATGAGTCACGCTTTGCTCGCGTGTCATCCTCCTTCCAGCGCAGACGAGGATTTCATATCACATTACAGACAGGTATTCTTAAACGTTTTAGATTTTGTATATTTCCATTTTTCAGTACATGAATTGGAATAATACAGATAAAAATCGCCTCTCCCTTCACTCCTAATCATTTAATATCCTAATCATTATTTAGATTGAAATCGAAAAAGAAAAGAGAATATCAAGTTTACGAGAGCTGCTAGAGTGTTGCTCTACAAATATAACTTTTCCTAAGAATATGTGCGCGCCGTTGGACGATTACGGAGATAGGAAAAAAAGACTTCTTTCTTGCGTCTGCGAATTTTAAGAGCCTACTCGAAAATTCAAGGCTGTCGGTGTCGCAGATGGAAAAACTGCAACGGCAGTATGATACGATTTTAAAGGACTTTCAACAAAGCAGACGACTCTTAGATGCGGAATTACCGAAGATAATTGACTCGTATTTATTTTATTTCAAAAATTCAGGTTACTGATAATGAATATAAATTGCACGAAAAGTCTGAGAACTAATAAAATTAATTATAAAATACAGGCGATTGGAAGCTCTTCGGCAAATCTTCGATAACGTCGCAGAATTATACAACAATATGGATTATAACATGCATACGGCGAATTTGTTTAAATTAATTGCGGTGAATTTACGTCAAATTGCCCCAGATTTTTCAGGTAACGTTTTCGAAAAAATTTTGTATATTCGTTAAATAATTAATATATGCAATTGCAAATATTTATAATAAAATTAAAAAAAAATTTTTTTTTTAATTAAATTTAAATATATTTTTTTTGTCATTTCTATTTTTCAGTAAATATGTTTTTTTCTAAGTTTACAGTATTTTCTAGTTTTTTTTAAACATTTACTCATTATCTTTTGAAATATTGAATTATCATATTAATTATAATAAGAAAAATTTCTTTATTCGAAATTTCTTTTTATTCGAAATTTGTTGCGTTTAGAGAAAGCCATATTTCACGAGCAAGAAGCAAATAAAGAAATATATCAAAAATGTAAAATAGATTATGTGGACAAGAAATGATTGTAAGCACAATATACAAAATACATCTTTCAGCGTTATTAATTAATGAAAGAATCGAAATAAGTCTCAGAAATCTGTCGGAATTATAGGCTTCATGAAGCCGCACATATTAAACTTAATCCTCTCATCGAAGTATGACAATGGTTTTGTGGCCTGTGCTTTTCCTGACGTAAAAAAAACAATGCACGTGCACTCAGAAACATAGAAAAATATCAACAAACAACGGTGTGTATTTGATCTTGAAAATATTTAAATTTACGGTTCTATTTCTGCACAATTTTCAGAAATTGAAATATTGATGTAAGTTAGCAAATTGTGGCAAATTTCAATCTTTGTTTAAAACATTCAATCTAAGTTAAATAATGTCTTTCTTTTACAATGCCATAATTTATTCAGTGTGATAAGAATTGGAGCTGATAAAATGGAACAAGTCATAAATTTGGAGGAATTTTTAATGAAGAATAATTTAATATTAATTACATTCGCGCGATAAAACTGAAAAGGAAATACTAGCGCGGAAGCAAAATTATGTTTATGCAAGAAATTGCAAAAGGATAAAGAGCAGCAACAAGGTGACAATCGCAAAAGAAAAGGTAACGAAGAAATCTAAGAAATACGAATCATTTAATAAATATTTTTGTGGAAGGAGAATTAAAATTCTTATAAAAACTCGGGAGCATTTTGTTCTTTGTTTGCAAAGTGTTAAGAAATAGATATTTGTGTGATTTCTTGCACCGTTTAGAATCGCTGCCACGTGCGATACGACTGTTTTCGCGCCGCGGTTGACAGGCCGCGTTGATAAGGCAGGTAGCGCGGTAACCGGTGCTCGTGGCACGTATCGCAGCGCCACGAATCACCATGCCGTTACATTCTCCGTGCCTCTTCCCCGGCGGGTGGCGGCCGCGCCTCCTCCTACTCGCCGATTTTAATCTCGTTAGCGGACACGTGCGCGCCCCCCGCGCCCTACGGTGCTGGTGATACGCAGGCAGGCAGCCACGAGCGAACCGAGAGCTGGCCGTGGGTGCCGTGTCGCGGGGCTTCGCCAATCTGGTTTGGTCTAACAGGATTCACGGCTCGCGCGACGCTTCATAAAAGCAGCGCGCCGAACGGGCGCGGCGCGTGTCGCAAGGAGGAGTTGCTCCGCTCGTGAGGTGTGGGCGCTCGTGCAGCCAGCAGCCAGCAGTAACACAGAGAGTGAAAGAGAGTGAGAAAGAGACAGAGACGGAGAAGATAGAGACGACGAGGCATCGCGCGCATCGCGGTGGACTCTCTCTCGCGGCGAACCGACACGTCGCCGTCGTCGTCGCCGTCGTTAACGTGACCACGCGTGTCGTCGTATGCCGCGCTCGTCCCGTGGTGTCCTCGTGTCGCGTTTCGTGTCATACGGTGCGTCGGACCAACGGCAGCAGCAACAGCAGCAGCAGCAGCAGCAGCAGCGGTGGCGGCAACAGCTTTTCGCGTGTGCCACGGAGAGAGCGCGACAGTGGGAAAAGCGGGCTCGTGCGAGCAAGACGGCGGTCGTGCGCGAGTGCGAACGAGACGGAGCGAGAGTGAGAGAGCCGAGCGACGAGAGCTCGAGGGGGAAGAGTGAGAGAGAACGAGAGAGAGGAGGGAGACGGAGCGCCGGTGGGTTACCACACCCAACACCGCGCGGAGCCGGGGAGCCGATCGCCGAACGTCGCCGTTACGCCGCTCTCTCGGGAGCTCTCTCTAACCGCGCCGTGCGTGTAGTACTACGCGGGTGAAACGCGCTCACGCGCCACCCGAAGCTCCGCATCTCAGCCCGGGTGTCAACCGTAGTGCTTCCGACGTAGTGCGCCAAGTGTCCAACGCACACACACGTATATACACACATATACACGTAACACGCGCACACCGTGCCGGGACTCCTCCGCGGCAAGAACCAGCGACACCGGACCAAAGAGGAAGTGCGAGAGGGGTGAAGAAGTGCGCGGAGTGCAAAGGAGAGATAGATAGAAAGAGAGAGAGAGAGAGAGAGAGAGAGATACGAAAGGAAGGACCGGGTGCGAGAGAGAGATAGAGCGACCTCGCCCTCACGGGGAAAACGTTTGTCGAAACACCGTCGGCGGTTGCAGGAGTGTTCGACACGTCGCGTGAAAAGCGAAACGTGCGCGCCCCGGTGAATTACATGTGTGCGTAATAGAGAGACGGAATATATATAATATATATATATATATATATACATACATATATATATATATTTAATAGATATATACGCACGCGGGGAGATTCTCGCGTAGTGCGCCTCGGCGAGCCTCGCAACTCTCGTAAAATCGGGGCGAGAAACGTGTGTGCGAGTGCGAGCGGGACGGAACG